GGAGGGGTGCCGGCAGCCTGCATGGGGGGTCTGAGCTCCCCACAGACAGAGGCTGTTCCCCAGCAGCAGCCCCTGTCTGCAGGGATCTTTGATTCCCCACGGACTGGGGCTGCTGTCATAGAGCAGCCTCTGTCTAGTGAGCCCGGGCCACTGTAGACAGGGGCTGTTCTGTGGCAGCCTCTCCTGCCCCCTTCCATGTAGCTGCCTCAAATAGAGGCAGCAACATAGGGGAGAGGAAGCAGAAAGCATAACGGAGCTGGTGCTGGTGGAACCTACTTTTAAGGCAGCTCCCGCCTGCTCCCCTTTCCCTGCAGCCTCTGTAGGAGGCAGCAATGGGGGCGGGGGGGGGTGCTTGAAAGCCAGCTCCCCGCGTGTACCAGCTCCCGCCTGCCCCCTTCACCTTCCATGCTGCTGACTATCACAGGCAGCAGTGCTGGGAGGAGCGGGGGTAGATTCGGTGCTTGTGGGAGCCAGCTTTTAAGCCAGCTCCTCACAGGCACTGCTCTCCCTCCCCCCTTGCTGCCTCTGATACAAAGGCAGTGGAGGGTGGGGAGAGGACATGTTGTCGACAAGATTAACCGATAAGCCAAGGCTGTTAATCATGTAGTCTGCACATTTCCATCTCTATTTACTGAGGGTATAAGAAGTCAGTAGAAGAAAGAAACCAGCATGAATCACCATTTTGGTACATTTAACAGCTCTATGGTTCTCTTCCAGCTCTATGGTTCTATGATTCTATGAACTGGAAAATCATTAGAGAAGACTCTCAACAGCCTTCCACTCAGACCAAGACAAGGAGATGCGAGTGTCTCATCGCTTAAGGAGTTAGCTGGACAGCAAATCACCGAGATGCCTGAGCTAGTCATGAATTCAGCATTTCCTAGGAACTTAAAGCTCATTCTATGGTCATGAGGACACTTGAGATCACACCAGTAAACTATACAAGTTAAGGGGGGAAATCATTTGCATGCATTCTCCAGATTTCTGAGCTTTCAGTTTTGATTTTGAGAACATTGGAAGAGAACCCATACCAACACAGGCAGTATTTTTACCAACACAGTTTCCCCCAACATGCAAAGATATATTGTTCTGAAATTCTTTACCCATTGCTTCATAAAAATGTATAAAAAGCAGATGTCACAAATGATTCATTCTGCCAGTATAGGATCAAATTGTATATACACAAATGACTTAATTACAGAAAAAACAGGACAAAATATTCTATAATGTGACTCAATCACTACGTTATACAGTAAATATAATTGCATATTGAAAATATTAAAATAATCAAATAGAACAAGCCCCTTTTTCATGCTACATGGTCTCTGACATGGTATGACAATGCACAGTTCCCAATGCATTGCAACACCCAGTGAGGTAAACAGGTAAGCATTACTGCTCCCACTTTACAGGTGGGTAACCCACAATACAAAGAGCTAGGGAACTCACCCAGAGATCCATAGTGATTCAGTAGAAGAGCTCAAAGTAAAATCCTAGAGAACTATCCTGGTTTTATCCTACCCTCCTCCTGGCTCTCAAATAGCTTTCCTTATTCTTTCAGAGATTTTTAAATTAATTTGCCTTTTGCTGGGATTTTTTATTAGCTTGAAAGTCAGGCTAGGTAGACTCTCCAGTGGGTACTACCTACTGTGGGTTTTCCATCACCCAGACTTCCTAAGACACAAAAACTGACTCCCAGAGGGTGGAGCTAAGTTGTTTTCCAACAGTGACATTTATTCATATTCATATAATGAAGTGCAACACCTACCTTTGCAATTTGATCAAACTTCCCAAAGAGCTCATTCAGCATCACTACCAGCTCCTTCGGAGAGCAATCACTAGCCAGACGAGTGAATCCTACAATGTCTGCATACAGGATGCTAGACAAGAACACGCTAATTAGTCACATTTTAACTATCTTTATTTTCTAATAAAAATATGGGCATTCAATTAACTGTGTTTCATTTCTAAAAATATCTAACAGAACACCTCTCTAGCTCTGGAAATCAACTCCGGAAGTGACTTGATGGGCAATGTGTTTGGGGTTTTTTTTTGTTTTTTTGGGGGGGGGGGGAGTTAGTTTAAAAACACAGCATGCACTCATAGTGTTCAAACAAATTCAAATTTTTTTTAATGAAAGCACATTAAAAAAATTGACTTTAACCAGTCCAGGATGTGGATTTAGTCAATTAATAGTTTTTTTGGGTTTTTTACCGCTACAACCAAAAAAACGGAATCCCAAATCTGGCAAAATAACTTCCAATCAGTTCTCTTCCCTCCTCTCACCACAGAGCATCTGAGCATAAACTCTTCATTCCACTCGTCTGATCCCAACCATGGCACTTCTTACCATCAGTAAATGAACCAAATATTAAAAAGACAGGAACAAGTCTTAAGGCAGCCATTTGTCAAGTTTCTTTATTTACCTAACATTCTGGTGCCTTTTCACATAAAGATTATGGAAATTGTTATCATGCATTTGCCTGTCATCATTAGTTTCCTTCAGTCGTTCTATGATGGCTAGTTTCATTTCCATTGAGATATGAGCCGGCAGTATAGATAAAAGCAAGTTTTCCTAAAAAGGAAAAAAAATAACAATGTAGAGTTATGTGAAGTGCCATGTTCAGTGTTTCAGAAAATTACTGGGGGAAATAAAGAAAAAGTCTTCTCATTTAGTAATTTCTGAGTGTTGCAGCTCATGTTTTCAACAGAAGACTCCTTTTCTGATCTCAAAATGACAGGTATGAGTGTATGCATTATGCTTTGAAATATTACATAGACTTCAGTTTACCAGTTTAATATTATGCTGCCTGAACGCAACAAAGGAGATTGTAAGGGGGGAGCAAACAGCAACTAAATGTAAAGTCTTAAGGGAACAATGTGGGCAGGGCAGATATTAATTGGAGAATGCCCCTGCTTAGCTCCCTTCAGGTTAGCAAAGTTTACTCTTCCATCAACAGGAATACTAAAACCTAAAGATGCTGGCCTACAAAAGAAGGAGGGTTGAGTGAGCCATCAGCATGCAGACAGAGAGACATAATAACAGAAAGAGACAAACAGAAGAAAACTGTGTTTTTCCTAATCTAGAGATGACGGAGTAACTGTGCTGAGTGTAGCTCACTAAAGCTTGCAAGGAAAAATTCAGGATAAATAAGAGGATGCGTGTATATAGGCATTTTTTACCTTGTACCTTTGAGCTGCATGTTTTGTACCTTTGGATGAATGAACCCTTTAGTTGCGGAAGCAGTTTCTGTATCACTGCAAACTTAGCCTGTCAAAGGCTCCTGGAGGAAAACATCGTACAGGGTCTGAACACAGCTGGTCCTGTCTGGTGGCTGGTCTAGTAGTGTCCACTGGGCTGAATACATGATCGAGAACAGATAGAGATATACCATACCATCTCATAGAACTGGAAGGGACCTTGAGAGGCATCGAGTCCAGTCCCCTGCCCTCACAGCAGGGCCAAGTACCATCCCTGACCATACCAAATGCCTGACATCCCTCAGATACCAAACTGAGTCAGGAAATGGGGACCAATCGTCAAACCAGAGCAGGGTCGAAGGCAGGAGGCAGAACTAGTTACCATGTGGAATCAAGAGATGTCTTCCAAACTCTAACCAGACTGGAGTTGAAGACAGGAGTCAGAACTGGGTACCAAACAGACGCAGGTACTAAGGTCAAGCTGGGCCAGGGTAAAAGGTGAGAGTTGAGAGCACAACAGAGAGGTTTTTAGCAGTACAAAGCTGGCACCTGCATAGTTGCTCAGGTGGTTCCTAGGGCAGTTTCCTTGTTAAATAGCTGGTTTTGATTCATCAGGCAGATGCAGGGTTCTGTGGCTCTTGGCTCTTTGGGCAGTACTTTCTGCAGTAGCAAACTTTCCAGTAATGTTTGGATGTCTGGCTCTCTAGTGGAGTCACCAGTTGCCCAAGACCACACAATCCTGAGATCTAGACCTGCAAATCCCTACACTGTTGGGTTAATACAGTTGGAAAACGGACCAGGAGGCTGCAGCCCAGAGATGCAGTCCCAGAGTGGCTGAACTACCTGGCTGCGCAGAGTGAGATGCGGGAAGCGACGCCTATCATGTGAGATATGTACTTTAACTTGAGACAGGTGAAATGGCACAGCTTGTCCAGCCAGTGTGACACGAACATTCTTCTCTCAATAGTTTGCAGTCTCCCTCTTCTCTGCAGGCTTCTAGCATCTTTTGATAGAAATTCAGATTGAAAAGCACCCTCTGTAAAAGTAATGGACTATAAAATATTCAAAACACCTGAAAACTCAACACATGATATGAAGACTTTAATTGCCTTCCTTGCTGGAGGAAGCATCCGATTAAATCGAATACAAGGTAAGAGACTCTAAATAGAAAACTCTATTGCCAAAATACTAATGCAACTTGCAAAAACTGATATACTCAAGGCTATTTAGGTAAGCCTTTTAATGTTGGCAAGGATGGATTCCTTTCCTCTGAAATTACTAGTGCGGCTTGGCTAATCAGAGATCAATAAAGTTCTCTCCCATGTGCCCAAACAAACATATAGTAATGAAATTACACCTCTGATTGGGAAACAAGTATCAGTGGACAAGAATAAAAGAAAAGCAGGAATATCAGTGCTTGCAAGTCATGGACTGCTCCACAGTCAGGAATGAAACCACCAATACCCTGAAGAGCTCACCTGTAATGAAAGGGATCATAAGATCTTTCAAAGAATAAGCACACTCAGAACTGATCCAGTAGTTTTCTCCATAAACTACACAAGGGATGGCTCTGCTGACACAACTAAAGGATGGATTTAGTTCGCCTCCTTAGCCTTGGTAGATCAAGGCTGATGGGTAGGAATTCTAACAGCACCCCAACACTCTGAACCTATAGTCAATAAAATGTTTTTTAAAATGAAAAAATACAGAGGAAGATGGAAGTCCACAACAAAGTGAGTTTAGGAGACTGACAAATGGTTCTGCTACCAATTTATAGCTAGTGAAGGGAGAAGGATTTTCTTCCCTCTCATGTACAAAACTGCATAATTAGTTATGCATATTTCATAAATATGGTGAGGGAAGAGATCACCTTACTTCTGAAGCATCAAGAACTCCTTTTCCTCCTGCTGTGCTAGAGGATTAGTCAGAAATCTAGTTTGATGTGGTTATGGAGAAACCTACATTTGCCTGCCTAAACAAGGAAAAAGAAGCCAAAGTCTCCCTCCCCTTCCCTGGTATTTAAGAGACTTGAGGTAAGTGAACAATTCAGGGTAACAACAGAGCCCTACTGAACATGACAGAATAGTTCTTGGATGTTAGACGTTACTTTACTGGTCAGTGTCATATGTTTAGCAATTCAGTTGCCCTTCTCACATCTCCCTGGTTAGTGGGGCAAGGAAAATGAAAAGTGGGAGTCTGCCAAATAATGTAGGTGGCAAGGAAAACTATATGTAGGCTGCAAGACAGATGTGTTTCAAGTAATCAACCAGGAAAGAACAAATTACCGTTCTGCAGAGTCAATTTAAAGGGTTGCAGACAGCATGATACTAATTCAAGCTCACTAGTTGCTTCCCTATTTGTTATCTGGGGGGAGGGCGGAAAGGGAAATAGCATTCATATAATCTTTTTTATAGCTGTTTCATCTCTTCTGGGAAGATGAGCAACGGAGATCAGACTGGACATTAGTAATGTGCTGTCTTCTTTCCAATTCAGCCAAATCAGACATTTTCAGCCTTCTCCTTTTAGTTCCCAATTTATGCACTAAGATCATCATACATGCCCAACCATCTAGATCAGCCATTCTCAACTATCTCTGTACTAGGACTTTCCCTTCTGGTTAGCAATATGGAAAAGGCAGGAATAGCTGTGCCCTCACAATAACTGTTTGCAGCCTGCAAGAGGGAAACCCATGTTTCTCAATCATTTGTTCCCATAAGAATTTAAAGAAACACCACCTGTAATCCAACCATTGCTGCACAATTTTTTCTTCCAGCAGCTGAAATTTCCAAAGCCTTATTTTATCATGAAACGGTGTTTGCAAGAATACTACTCAGTTGTGTTTTGTTAAAAACAAGTCATCAGTAAGGACTGGCTTCACTGTATATGCAACAAACACAAAAAAGTTGTTAAGCAATCTACAAGAGGGAACCAATGTACTATGTAACAGGCTGGCAATGACGATTTTTGCTTGGTGAAGTGAGTAGCCAGAGGAAGACTGCAACAGCTGACTGTGGGTAAATAAAATGGACACAGGAGGTAGGAACAAAAGAGCAGAGCAGCTGATAGTAATAAAAAACACCAAATCTAAATAGAAAAAAATATTCTCTGCTTACCATGAGATTGGCTCCTGCTATTAGAGCTTTACAGGTATTAATGCTAGCTCACTACTGAATTATACAAAATTACATCTTACAACAGTATGAAAGTCAAAGTTTCATAGTGTTTAACATTATTCACTTCCAACTATCAAAGCCAAAATGATTAATTATTTGGCACTTATAAATACACTGATGACATTTTGTATTACATAACACTATAATGTACACAACTTTTGATTACTTAGTTGACTACTTTAAAAATAAACTTCTAACTATCTCTGCATGAGCACTACCTTTTGCAAGTGCATTTCTAGGAAAAAATAAGACTACAGTATTACAAACATCCAATATCTGCATACGAAGGCAGGATTGACGACTAATTTAATTAAAAGGATTTCTCATCAATACAATTCTGAAGACTAAGAATTATTTTTCTTATGAATTGCCTGAGATTATTTTACATTTTAATATTTTAAACAGGTATGACTGGCAAATACTTCAGGTTTCAAATACTACATCTAGGAATGCACAGATGTGTCTTTTTTTCCCCCTACGTTTTTTACTAAGAAACCACACAAAGCAGCTTTCTCCCTTTAATTTCTCCTCTCCATCATCAATGGCACAATTGTTTTTTATATTAGGTGATTTTCATAGGGATTAGATCAAAATCTTTCAGTGTGAATTAGTCAAAAACTTAGGAAAAAAATGACACACCACACCCCAAAAAAAACCACCAACATGCAACTCAGAGGCTTTTACTCACTTGTTGCCTCTTTTCAATCTTCAGTTTCATTCGGACTTGAATGCACTTAAAAGTGTATGTGTACAAATCCCATGAAGCATCCTGCATCCGATACTTTTGAAATGCACCCATCAAATTACCACAAAGAAAAATTACAGCATTGGCAAATAACTGGAAGAGAAAAAAAAAATTGAACAGTAATAATTTGTATTCTATACAGAAGTAACTTATTTTTGTCCAGAACATAAGAAAAAGCTAATTTTTCCCTGTCCTTTCACTCAAACAACCCCACCACCAACCTTTATGTTAGCTAACTTGTATGTGTTAAATAGAAGGCAATTCACTAACATGACTGCTTCTATTTAACTCACTCAGGATAGTCCATTAAAACACAAGAGGGACTGAGTTGCATAGGTAAGGCCCAGGTCAGCAGACACATGCCTGCCATTGGAGCACAAGTTCCCAATATGATGTGTCTGTAAAAAAGGCAAATCTGATCTTAGGACAGGGTTCTCAACCCTGGTAATCTCTGAGGGTGACCATCAACTCTTACTAGTGGCTGCTCTGGGAACTTTTTCCCAAAATACTTAATTAAAAGTAAACTTGTTTACTTGTTTAAGAAAAACAAATAAATATGCACATATACATGTCTAGAGCATTGCAATTTATATGGGGCTTTTTTTTTCCAGACTCAGTAATAAAAATATAGAGAGTTGTCTATTCTTTACTGGAACTAAACAGATTAGAAACAAACATAACGTGCTCTGCATGGCTTGATTGCTTTTATATTGCTAGTTAGTAAGTCTGCTGTGAAAAGTGACATTTGTCAATTTGTTAATATCACTCTTCATGGCAGACTCACTCAGCTCTGGCATGCTGAGGGACAAATTAAGCCCTGGATGAGGAAGCAGGTAAGGAAGCAGGGGGGAAAGAGCAATGGAGGTAAAGACACTGGCTTCCTCCATGCCTGAAGGATACTCAATCCACCTCCCTCCCCATGCCTAAGGCCTTGCATCCATCCCTGCCTCACCTCTTTCTTCCCTCTCCCATGAGCGCACCCCAACCCCACTCTTCCGGCTCCCTCCCAGAGATTGCTGCATGCCATGAAACAACTGACCGTGGTAGGTGGCAAGTGGTAGGAGAGAGAGAAGAGGAAGAGCTGATTAGCGGGGCCATGAGTGGACAGCAGGTACTGGGGCGGGGGGAGGGAGCTGGTTGCTGGTGGGTGCTGAGCACCTGCTGCGGCACCCATGGATTCAGAACCTATGAACTGGGGTCTAGAGAAGGCAAAGAGGGTTGAGGTGATGGCGGGGGGATACTACCATATGCCATATGCCAAAGCCTGCCACCCACCACCCCTGGGCAGACGCCTAAGGCTTGAGCCCCACCCTGACAAGGTGCAGAATTTACACGGATTGCCTGATCCTATGGTGTGTGGGGCTCCGAGCCAATCCCTGCAGGCAGCCATGAGGGAGAAGCCACAGAGAGCAGGAGGTGTGGTCACAAGAAAAGGCTCTGGTAGATGCATCTGAGAAACAATGTCCTAGGATTCATTAGGTAGGCAGAGATATTGTGACAGACCCGCGAGGGTCCACACTGCCGAGGGGGAGGACCCACCCCCCTAAAGGCGGAGAAGGCAGGCCGGTACCGCAGCAGCCCCGAACCCTGGCTCAGCAGGGCCAGGGATGAGTGGAGAAGCAACGCAGCCCCACCGCGCAGGAGGCAGGGCCAAGTTACGCCGGCGCTCCCCGGCATGAGGCCAGAGAGCAGACGAGCCGGCGAACGCCGGGAAGCTCAGTGGGCGGGGCCCCCGTCATGCCGCCCGAAGTCACAGCACGGAACAACGCAAGGGGGGTGGGGCACTGTCACTCGGCGTCCACCCCCGGGTCACTTGAAAAGCGGCCGGGTCAGACGAGGAGGGGGGACGCTCGGAGGAAGTGGCCTCATCCTGGTGGAGAGAGGGAGGACCTTCTTCCACGCTGGAGGAAACTGCGCGGGATCTGTGGGCCCCCAGGTCGCCTAGGAGAACCAAAGACTGACCAAGCAGGGGTAAGAACTCACAGCGGCTCCCTGGGCCAGACCACCCGGGAGGGGGAAAGGAAGCAGCCCGTGGCAGTGAGCCTTTGGCACCCATGGATGGATGAGGTACAGGAGTAACCCCGTCCATCGTGCAAGGGGAGCACTGCCCTCTACACTTAGGGCCCCGGGCTGGGACCCGTAGGTGAGGGCGGGTCCGGGTCCCTCTTCCCCCCCACCTACCCCTACCCTAGGGGTTCATGACACCCCAATCAGCCTGACCCCCACTCCAGACCCTACACATGTTGGCTGGACTCCGCCTGAGCACAGGCTAGACTGGAGGGCCGGGGACCCTGACACGACCCCTTCCATGAGGAGGATTTACGGGTTCGCCGAGCCTCTCCTCCCGGCTCGGGGGAGGGAGATCACACCCGAAGGACAGAGGACCCCAAAACCTAGACTACCCCCCTTCTGGGCGGGAGGGGGTGGTCACACCCTTAATACCCGTCACTGATATTAATGCCATAGTACACGTCACTGGTAAGATTTCATTTAGAATACTGTTTACAATTCTGGCCACCCATCTTTAAAGACTGAACAAGGGCAGAGCTCCTAAGATGATCAAAAAATGGAGATCCTATTTTATGGGAAAAGACTGGCAGACTGTGGCTTCTATGGCCCTGTAAAAAAAGACAGCTGATGTGGATACGATCACTCTGTCTCAGTACATCACAGTGGCAAACACCAGGGAGGATGCAGAACTATTCAAAGGAACAAACTAATATAAACTGACCATGAACAATTTTCAGGCTGGAAATTAAAAGATAGTGTCTCATCATCAGAGGCAAGAGGCTCTGGAACAGCTTGGGGGCTAACCCTACTAGCTGTCAGAGAGCGCTGGACATACTGAGGAGTGCAACTGTATGGCCAGGTTGCTTGGAATAGCAGGGGCCAGGCAGCCCCAGGACTCACTTCCAGTTTATAGCTTATATTCCTAAAAGCTCATGCTTCAGGTTTTCAGCTAACCACTGCAAGGATCAGGCAGGGATTTCCCTATAGCCACAATGTATTTTGGGGGGGGGGCTCTTTTTTAAAGCATTGATGATGACCTTGACTAGGGAAGGGATACTCTAAGGTGGCACCGAGCACTCACTCTCTCAGGTGCATGACTGGCTGGTTCTTGCTCACATGGTCAGAGAGTAATTGTTCACTCCATGGGGAGTTAGGAAGGGATTTTGCTGAGGTCAGATAGGCAGTGGTTTTGCAATGTCTTGCTCTTCCCCTGTAGTATGTGCACGCAGGTCACTTGCCAGAATTATCTGGATGCATCTCAGTCATTTCCTTGGTATTGAATGGGCTTCAACACTCCTAAGCTATGCCTGTTTTCGCTCTGTGGCACATACTGTGGGCAGTCATACTTCGGTCTCATTTCAGTGGTTGGGTTTAGTGTACAGGAGGCTGGGTGGTGGTTGGTGGTGATATACATAGGTCCGATTACAATTTGAACCTCTAAAATCCGGGACTCTCTGGTCTAGCAACATCCAGAGTCTGGTAGGACCATGAATATTACTGGAGCAAAGAACCCTGGCAGCTGGGAACAAGGACTGGCCAGGGTCAGAAGAGAAGCCCTGATCAGGCCGGCAGTAGCGGGGCTGGTGGCAGCAGGGCCAGCAGCAGCAGGACTGGCATGGCAGGGAATGCAACCCCAGCTGGGGCTGGGACCAGAGCCCAATGGCTGGGGCTGGCACCCAGGAGCAGCACCAAAGTGGGGCTGATAGCTGGGAGGGGGAGCCTTGATCTCCCTTGGTCCAGCAAACTCCCTGATTCAAGATTGCTCAGGTTCCAAGGGCGCCAGACCAGGGAGGTCCATCCTGTAGTGTAGATGATCAGATGGTCCCTTCTGGCTCGTAAATTATGACTCTATGGTTTAGGCGCAGAAAACTCCATAGGCACCTACATATGCCAGAAGCACATGCAAATTTCCACTGTACATAAGTCTATACTCATCAGAAACTGGCACACCTGAAAGAGTTCAGAGTAGCTGGGTTCTTGTATGAATTCACCCTGGTGTTGAAACTGTGTAAGGACAGACTAATGCTGCTGACTCCACCTTGAACTGAAGAGAAGTGGAAGTCACCCTTGATCGGTGAATCCCTAGTCTGGGGTTGAAAGGAACCCTTCAAACAGCAGCCACGTCTGGAGGGAGGCATTGGGCTGGAGTTTGTTTTCATGTTTTGAGATGCCCCTGGGATAGTACCAGCCTCTTCCTGGTCAGGGGGACCCTCAGGTGGACCAGACAGAAATTGGGTGGGTTGCTCCCCTCTTCATGGCCCTGCTCCCCTGCCCCATGGCGGGTGGGGCACTGCCTGCTCACAGCCAGTAAGAGCTACTCAGGCTGGGGGACCCAGCTCTGGGGCCACAGAGCCCTCAGGGAGCAGTGACTGCCCAGGGCAGGGCTCAGGAGCCCCAGCTAAAGTGGGTCAGTCTGGAGCTTTGTGGGGAACTGAAGACCCTCCACCTGCCCTGAGAGCATATCCCAGTGGGCAGAGAGACAGGCCAGGGACTACTCTTGGGCACCCTAGTTCTCTGCCCAGGCTTTCTGCTTCTCTCCTGAGCGGGGGCCAAGCCAGCAGCCACTTCTCTCCATTCTGCCATCGGAGCCGGGAAGGCAGAGAGCAGCAGCTCTTAGGGGGCGGCTACAAGGGATCTAAAGCACATTTTGAGGTGATTATAGCCTTCGTAAGTCCTTCCCACCCCGGAGTTACCGAGCTAATAAAGCCAAACCTCAGGAAGCAAACATGTTTTGACCCAATACTTTCTTGGTTCACTGGGTTTAGGAGGGAGAAATATGGGGGCAAAGGCAAGAAACTGCTACTGGCTCCCTGTCGGTCATAGACTTAGGTGTACATGTCTGAAAATGTGAGCCTTGATTTCTTCACCTCAAATGAATCAGTCTAACAATACCAGGATTGCCTTCACTGATGTCTACCCTGCTAATATTGGCATAACTTTACAGCATTTGGTAGGGAGAGGAGAATAACCCGCCGAATGACATAAATTATGTCAACGTAAGCACTGGTGTAGACAGCACTGTCAGCACAAGGGCTCCTTTCACCGCTTGCAGGGGCTGGAGTAATTAAACAGACCGGGAGAGC